GGGCAGGGGGAAGGCGGGGAGGACGGAGCGGCCGACGGAGTAGGGGCCGGATGGCAAGAGGTGCACTGATGTTTGACGGCTACGTTGGGTTGGGTGCGTTCTGTGTGACGGGGGGTCGCCACCCCGGGCCTAGGGTTATGGGGAGGCAGGTGATAGGGGGGCCAGCAGCCGCTGTTGAGGGCCCCTATTTGCATCATTGGAGGGCGCGTGCGCGGGCTGCTTGGCGGCGAGGGGCTGGGTTCGGGGTAGGTGAGACTGCTGTTTACTGCAGTGTGTGCTTTTTGGCCTTTAAGCTCGCACGCACTGCAGTAATCAACGCGGTCGGCTGCGGCGCCAGCCTTGAAGAGCGTTCGCCAGGGGCGTGCTTGCGCGACGAGCGGGCGCCGCTGCATGGCCAAGCCACCGGCTGTGCCCAACCCCGAGGGACCCATAATACTATCATACACGCAAACGCCAACATTCACACGCCGCACCCCAGGTTCAAGGCGGCCAAGGCGCACGTGCCAACCAGGTGACTGCTGCGTGGCCCTTCCCACCGAATGCCACCCCGCATCCACCCCCGCCCTGCACCCCGCCACCACCACTTGCCCTCCCGTTCTCGCGCCGGCGCACCCGTTCGTACGCCCTCGAACCCCCTTCTCCCCGCTAAGGCCCCACCCCGGCGCGCCCAACAGCCTGCTGGCGCACATCGCGTCGGCGCCCATCGATTGCATAAGGGACCGCCTCAGGTTTGGCGCCGGCGGCGGCATTGGCGCGGCGCCAGCGCCGGCGCCGGCGGGGTCCTGAGACCGACGCCGACGGACGCTCACGAGGGAATGGGGGAGGGGCCAAGGACGAGGGCGTCCCCCAAGACAGAGGCCCGCTGGCCTGCTGCGCGCGTTGGTCGCCGCAATTTGAGGGCGCTGAGCCTGATTTGAGAGGCGCTCCTATTAGGGCCGCCGCCGGCCGTCGTGCTTTGCGCCGCCGCGTCGCGCAGACGGTGCGTCGAGGCGGCAGGTGTCGCGCTGCCTGCATTCGCCCTTTATCACTCGGGCGCTTTCGTTTGATTCGTGCGCCTGGCGTCTTGCTGTTTGCTGTGATACACCACAGGCCTATTTTGTTTCATCAGAGCATTTAGATTGCCAGGGCACAGACTTTGCGGTGCTGCAGTGCAGGGCAACGGCTCGTGTGCAGCCGGCCGATAACTCATGTCGTCATGTGACCGTACGCCTTCCACTTGCCGCGCTTGAAGCGCCATTACACGCCATATGGCATAGAAAGCAGGGGTCGCTCAGAAAGACAACATGAGAGGGTAAGCAGGTGTGCGCAAACGCGCGGGGCGGGGGCCGGCGCGCTGCGCTGCGTGCCGCGAGGCTCGCCGATGGCGGTGTGTGTGCGCTGTTGCTTTGTCGCTCTTCAAAAAGGGGCCAAAATCAAAGTCGAAAGACAGGCAGCCGCGCCTGTGGTGCGCGGCTGGGCGCAGCTGGTGCCTGCCGCACTGGTCGCCTGCAACTGCGCGTGCTGAGCTGGCGCGATCGCGGGCGTGGGCGCAATCAACGGACAACAGAAAGAAAAACAGAGAGGCGTACGTGGAGAGACGATAGAGGGTTGAAACAGCAACACTGCTCTAAACCTCCCAGCAATAACAAAGACGGACGCTTGAACGAGTCACACCCGCCCGCGCGACGGCACGGCCCGCACGGGCCACGTCGACGGCTCCCTCGCCACCCAAGGGCCGTGCCGCCGCGAGGGCCCAGATCAGATCCAGATCAGATCGAGATCAGATCAGATCAGGTAGGATTAGAAGAAGGTGTCCTCGTCATCCTGCTGCAGCCTGATGCGGTCGAGGACGGCGCCGGCGCCGCCGAGGGCTGAGTCGAGCTCCTCATCGCTGAGGCCGAAGAGGGCTGCCAGCTCAGCGCGCTTTGCGGGGTCCTCGACCTGTGAGAGTGTTTGGTGTGTGTGTGTGTGTGAGTTTGCCCCCGCGCGCGTGTGTGTGTGTGTGTGTGTGTGTGTGTTTGTATGTGAGTTTGCCCGTGCGCGCGCGCATGTGTGTGTGTGCGTGCTTATGCGCGCGAGTTTGTAATTTCGGCAAGGTTCAACGTGGACTTGGAAAGAGACAAAGATAGAGCGAGTGTGTGTGTGTGGGGGGGGGGGAGATGCGTGCAGAACTAAAGAGGGCGGTTTCCATGACAGCAGCCAGGCCTCAACATGCCATACGAACATGCGGCCGTGATGCACCTGCCAACGCCCACAGCGCATGCACAGCTGCCTCCATCAACACAACACACGACACACACACACACACACACACACACACACACACACGTTTCACACACACTCACACTCATGCCACACATACAAGACTCACATGATCCACACACACGATCCACACGTGTATGAATCACTCGCGCCTTATTAAACAACAAAACATGACCAAATCCACCCCCCGCACCTTAGTGGCGTACGCCCCGAAGATCTCCTTGAGCTCCTCCCTCTCCCCCCACTGCACCACGTTGCTGCCCCCCTTGTCCGGCACCGCCCTGTAGCTGCTCAGCAGGTTGTTCAGCGTCGCCGCCAGCTCGCCGCCCCGCTTCTGCCGGTGGTGGCTTACTGCCTGAACCAGCAGCATGCGCTTGCGGCTGCCGACGAGCTCGCGCAGCAGCGCGTCCACGCGCCGTTGGTCGACGCCCAGGATCTGCGGGAGATGCAGGGGCGGAAGATGTATGGGCAGAAGATGTATGGGCAGAAGATGTATGAGCAGTAGATGTATGGGCAGAAGATGTAGGGGCGGAAGATATAGGGGTGGGAGATGCAGGGGCGGAAGGGAGGGGGATCGGAAGGATCGTCTGTTTTTACATCCGCTCGGCCGGGTGCTTGGAGTCATGGGGTGTTCGGTCCTGCAGAAGAACACCAAACCGTTTCACGCAACGATTTGTTTCTACAACCCGCCGTTTTTGCTGCAAAAATTGTAAACACGGGGGAGAGCGCTCTGCCGGCATGCAACATGCTGGCGCCGTTTGCTCCGCGCCGCGCGGCAGGCCGCACCCGCCGCCGCGGCGGCGCGTGGCCGCCCGCGGCCAGCAGAACGAACAGCCGCCTCGCACCCGTGCCAACAGGGACAAAGCATGCAAGGCTATCCATGGCGCCGGGGAGCCCAGGCGGGGGCAGGGGGATGGAGGAGGGGCCAGGGTTTTCTGGGGGGGGGGGGGTGGGTGATGACGTCACCCACCTTGGGCAGGTCGACCAGCAGCAGCTGCGCGTCAAACTTGGCCTTGCCGTCAGACAGCCGGCGGTCAATCTCGCGCCGCAGCAGCGCGCGGCGCGGGCCCTCCTCCAGCGCGCGCTCCATGTCCACGCCGTCCCGGTGGGCCTGCAGAGATGACATCACGATGACGTCACCATACGGCAACGTTCAGGTCACCGCATGATTTCCCATGTTTGCGGTGTTTACGCGTCGGTGGTTTTGAGATTCAATTTGAGATCAAAGCACCCCTCGGCAGTCAGGCCCTGGCCACCCCCACCCCGGCCGGCGGCGTGGGGGGGTGGGGGGGTTGGGGGGGCGCAATGGCGGCAGCCAAGGCCTTGGCCCGCGCTCACACCTGCAGAACGCGCTCCACGGTCCACTTTTGGCCGCCGGCCTCCTCCAGGGCCGCGGTGGAGCCCAGCACCTCGGAGCGCACCTGAGGGCGACAAGGAGGAGGTGTGAACAGGGGAGTCAGGGGTTCGGGGCTCAGGGCTCGGGGGTGACACCCTCTGTCGCATCCGCGCCACCGCAAAAATGCCAGCCTACTGCCAAGCATGACGTCAACTCGGCCGCGCCGCGCCTTGGGATCCCGGATCATGCCTGATCTCAGATCTCAGATCTCGCACCTCGCGCACGATCTTGTCGGCCTTGTCCTGCGGCAGCGACAGCTGCCTCCTCATCTCCTCCAGGTAGGCGGAGCGCTCGGGGCTGAGGGTGCCGGTGCCGCGCAGGACCTCCTGGGCCTGTTTCGGGGTTTAGGGGGTTGAGGTTGGGGTAGTGTCAGGGGTGAGGGCATTTTTGTTTGTAATTTTTGTCCAAACCCTCATCATGCAACGTATTCTCGCTCTTCACCCCCTAACCCCACCCCTCACCTGGGACTTGAAGGCAGCGACCCGCCTCACACACACACACCTATCCCACAACCATTCTTCAGCACCGAAACTTCACCCAACCGCATGCACTCCCGACCCCACCCCACCCCTACCCCTCACCTGGGACTTGAAGGCCTGCTCTGACAGGTCCTCGTGCACAGCCGCCACCTCAACGGGGGTCATGCCCAACAGCTCACCCAGGTGCTGCAGCCGCACCATCTCCGCCTGGCGCGCCTGAGGGGCGGCGGCGGTAGTGGCGGCGGTAATGGTGGCGGCGGTGGCGTGAGCAGTGGGGTGCGTGGCCGTTGGGGGGATTGGGGCCCGAAGGGGGAAGGGGTGCAGAACTCGACAAGGCTTGCAGCGTCCCTCTTCCCCCGCCTCGCCTTCCCCGCCCTCACATACTGTGAGCAATCCAGAAGCTGACTCAGCAGGGGTGCCCAGCCCTGCCTCTGCCGCACGGGCCTGGTCACCAAGTTGCCCGGGTGACAAGTTTGAGTGAGCGTCACTGGTGACGTCACCCACCTGGAGGTTGGTCTTCTTGCGGATGACGCCGCCAGCTGGCATCTCCACGACGTCACCGCTCATGGAGTACATGAGGTACGTCTTGTACAGCTCGGCACTGCGGTTACACGGTGACGCCC